GAGATAAATATAGCCATCAGGGAAAGGAGAAGGAAAGTGGGGAAGAAACAAGAGGGAACTTGAGCAGAAGTGCAGCTGCAGATTGGAGTGAGGCAGGAGCATGAAGGAGGAGGTGGGGTAATTGGATCTTTCAGTGGTAGTGCCTTGGCAATTGCATGAGTGGAAACAGCCAGCTCTGTAGGACACAGCATTTGCTTGTCATTCAGGGAGAACTGCTATTAAATTCAAAGTGAGGAGAACAACAGAAAGAGACAGTTCAGGAAAGTTGCTCTGGGAAGATTAAAACAGGAATTTCAGTCTAAGTCACTGTGGTGGTGACTGTGTTAGCTTCCTAACAGGGCTCTTTCCATTTTCATCTGGTTTTTAGGTTTGACAGGAAGAAAATTATTTTCACTGAAGATATAAAGGGCAGTATTTTCCAAAGTGCCTAAGTGCTTTTTCAGAAATCGTTTAGACTTAATTTCATAGAATCACAGAATGGTTTGGGTTGGTAAGGATTATTTAGATTTTTTTCCCCTGACATGGACAGGGACAGCTTCCATCAGACCAGGTTGCTCAAACATCTATCCAGCCTCACTTTGAACACTTCCAGAGATGGGGCATCCACAAACTCTCTGCACAACCTATGCCAGGGCCACACTAAGCTCATTGTAAAGAATTTATTCCGTGTATCTAATTTATTAGATATATCTATTATATATCTTCCATATATCTAGTTATCTGCTTCCTTTCAGTTTAAAGCCATTTCCCTTTGTTCTGTCACCCCATGCCCTTGTAAAATGTCCCTCAGCAGCTCTCCTGTAGGAGCTAGAAGTTTGCCCCAAGATCTCCCCAGAGCCTTTTCTTCTTTTTCCCAGGTTAAACAATCCCAATTCTCTCAGCTTGTCCTTAGAGGGAACATACTCCAGCCCTCTGATCTTCTTTATGGCCCTCCTCAGGAATCTCTTGAGGAGTTCATTTTATTGTTGGGGGTCCCAGAGCTGGACACAGCACTCTGGATGTGGTGTCCCAACTGGAGTGAAGGAACAGAATCACCTCCCTTGACCCACTGGTCACAGTCCCACTGCTCTAGATGCAGCCCAGGATGTGCCAAGAAATATCAATTGTTTTGTAAAGTGGCCCCAGAGATGCTCTCTTATGGTGGGAAAGGAGAGAAGAGAAATAAAAGAATCACCCAGAAGGATGATACTGCCACTCCTCCATTAAAGTACAGACCAGGTACTTTAATGCTGGCAACTTCAGGTGGAAAATGGTTCATAAAATTATTCTCTGAGTACTTTGACAGGACTAAAAAGGGATGTAGGATTATTCATATCAGGAGAGCTAACACAACAAATATTGATATTGTTTAATCTGATCAAAGTGAGGTGTTTTGACGTAGTTAGGTATTCAAAACATCTGAGTGAAGTAGACTCTTAGTAAAATACTATACTTTTATTAATTTCTGGCAGACACTTAGCATCTTCTCAGAGAATTTTTTTTTCCTTCAGAAATGGAATTTTGTGTAAGAAAATCATTACGATTTTTCTCCCAACTCATGGTGCTTTGGTGCTGGTATGTTCTGCCAGTCGTTTCTAGAACTGCTCCATAACTCTCTTAAAATTTATGTTCTCTGTTCCTCTTTGGGAAACAGAACATCTTGAATGCTTCTCCTATTCTCCTAAGGACAGCATGGCCAAAAGAAAAGTGTATTATCCATCCTATTACCAGCAAAAGATTTAATTAACCTCATGTTTATTTCCACCTTTTAGTCATCTGTCAGTTGTTCTGTGAAAATAATTCATTTTGGTTGGCTTAACACAAGTTTAAATTTGCACAAAGTGAATTTGGCTGAACCTCAGCTGTGTATGCCAGATGACAGGTAAATGTATTTCACTGTGAATTCCATGGAATCTCTTTGCTGGAAATTCAGGCATCCTTAATACTGAACAACAGGGTGTTGACTGAAATGCTGGGCATTAGAGAAAACAGATCTTCAAAAAAATGTGTAAATCAGAAACTGGAGGACAATATGGTGATTGTGTCAGAATAACAGCAGATAAATTGTTTCAGAAGAGGATAAAACACTTTGGAACCCAAAAGAACATTTTTAAAGGAGCTGTTATCATTATCTTTGGTACTAATTGGTATCCAAATATCTAAGTTTTATGAGTCAGTTGTCATGGAGTGTGCCTATTACATGGAATAGACAAATCAGTGATAAGAAAGAGTTGCCATGCAAAGCTGGGAACCCAAAGCTGTTGCTGTTTGCACAGTGATAATTTATTTTCCCTGCCATTATTTCAATTTCTATGGGGTGTGAGACTAGGATATGACAGGGGAGTTAAACATTTCATGTTGTTTACATGTGATGTGATAATTTGAGGGATTAGAATTTGGGAACTTGTTGGAAAATATCTGTTATTTTCTTCTGGATCTCTCATACTCTGTGCTGGTGCCTTTGGGAGCAATCAGGACTGTGGTGCTTTGTGGAGAATTGTTCTGCTGAAGTTCTTCACTCACCGAGGAGGATAGGATGCCAGAAAGAGCACACTATAGCTTCTGTGAGGATCTAGAAATCCTTTTTACTTTTCCCACTTCTTGTAAACATTCATATTTTCAGTCTATCATTTCACCAAGGCAATATATTGGGATTTATTTTTTTCAACAATGGGTTTTATTTTCAAAACCATTTAATTAAAAATAAACAGCCCTTTTTTCTAAATCATAATATGTGTGTTCCTTCAAACATGCAGTGTTTCAGGTACACTCTGCTTCTCACAACAGAAGATCACACCTGAAAGACCTTTTCTGGTTTTGCAATGAAAGCAAAGAACTGCTTTATCAGATATTAATGAGGTTATGAAGAGGTATTTAAATTTTATTTATATCTCTCATTAAATAACACAAAAATCCACTCAAAGTTCTTATCTTAGTTCTGAGTTTATGCTGAAGAATTTAGAAATAATTTTCAGTGCTTCTTGGTCCACTGAAGTGCCACCTGGACTTTCAGCTATAAGGGAATAAACCTAGAAATAATCTTTTTAACAACAGACCATATTTTTGGTGTTCAGTAATTCTATCTTCTCTTCCTTTCTCCTTGCTAGCCCAGCCAATATTCACATTAGCTGAGATGTATTTGCTTTGTAATTGAATTTCAGTTTAATGTATTACTGGAAATTACTTTTGAAAAAAAACTAAGGGAAGAGGCCTCTACCACTTTCCCAAACTGGAAAATAACTTCCCCTGCATGCACACCAAACAGATTTATTAGATCTGTCTTCCTAACACAGAACACAGGCTGCTGGCTAAAAGAGAATAACTGATAGTTAACTTCTTGGGCTGGAGAGAAGATTCTGCTTTTACTGTCTTTTGAGTTTTTTTTTTCTTTTCTGCTGGTGGCAAAGCAGCTGAAAATGAGAAAATGAGGAAATGCAAGGGCTGTGCTTTCCCCACACACAGGTGCACAGCAGTGGGTGGGATGGGGCAGGAGTGGGCACTAATATAAAGTGGCTGGATGTCAGAACTCAGTGCATCCCTGCGGGTGTCCAGAGTTGCCAGGACCCCGTTGGGGGGGCTTGGAGACCCTGGAACGCAGCCCAGAACACCTGGGGATTTGATTTTGGCCCCTGAAGCAAGTTACCAGCTTTGTATGAGGACCTGAAAGTCACACAAGTTTGAATAGTATAATAATAAAATTATCACAGGGTGAAAATGTAGATTTTAGGATTTTTGGTATGGGGATTATGGGGACAAGATGGAGGAACTTGGGCGTGTCCAGACTTTCTTCTTCTTGTTCTCCATTTTTCTGCTGTGATGTTGGCACTTTGGGATTGGTTCAGAGTAGAAGTGCACTAACATAGGTGATAGGTATTGGGAATTAAGTGTAAATATGTTATATTTAGTTTGTAGTATAAAAGGACAACACAGAGTGCCTGTGGCTGCCCTGCTGAGCAGATCTCGGCTGGGCAGAAAGAAAATTTTATAGATAAAAATTAAAAAACAACCTCAAGACTGAAAAGTGAAGAGTCCAGACTCGTCCTTCAGTTGCAGGGCCGAAGCAGAGACATCCTGCACATCTTGGGGCAGCAGTTATCAACAGCAACCCAGGAGCTGGGCCATGCCCTGTCCAGTGCTGCCCATCCCTGCATAGTTCTCTTGTCCCTGGGTGCTCTCACCTGGTTCTGAAATACAGCCTGATTTTCATCCTGCAGCCACTGCAGATTAATTTGTGAAAGGGGTTTAAAATCTGCTCAGTATTGACAGCAGTACCTGTTAAGCACTGTCATGTTTTTGCTCCCCATTTAATGCACATCTATGCATTTAATATTGGTCTGAAAAACTGGTTCTATGTAGGCAAATTTGCCTTTTTTCTCTTCTTTTTAATTGAAGCAAATCATATTCCTCTAATATCTTTGTTTCCATGCCAAGTTTTCTCCAATTAAGGAAAAGAAAAAACAAGAATCCCCAGGCAACCCTGTTACTCTTATTCATAATTAAACCATCACACCTGAAACATCCAGCAGGCTGTTGTGAGATTTCTGAAGTACAGGGAGAAGCCACACTAATATCTTTGGGCCTTGTGCCAGCACACAGAGATGTCTAAGCTAGGAAATGAACCAATACTGTATAGGAAAGAGAAAGGCATTTCCTGATTAAGCAATAATTGAATATGAAGCTTAGAGAAAAAGTGAATATTAGGACATAAAGTTGCTTTTGTCCCTCTGTAAAATAATTCTGCCATTTAGACATGAGTTCTATTTTGTAAAAAAATGTTGGTTTTTTTGTTTGTTTGTTTGTTTTTTTTAATATGCAGCTTCTGCATGATCCATTACTGTGCTGCATTTCAATGGGAACATCTCAGGGGAGCCATTGAATATTTCAGATTATTGTTTTTGCATTAGGGGGATAGTTCCAAGACATACCTGGTACAACTCACAGCACAGGCAGATAAACTCTAACCTGTGGCACTTTGTAGCTCCATAAATGTATTTCTGCAAAAAGTTCCTTTTCTTTTCTAGAGCTGTTACAGGGAGCTGTAGAATCTGGGAGAGTCAATCCACTGCCCTGGGGAAGCATTGAAGCTGCCTCAACAACAGTTGACAGGAAGAGAACTGACTGAAGTGAGGTATATTTTTTTTTTTCCTCATAGTATTCCTTTACCTAAAAATCTATTTCCAAGTAGAATACTTCACTGGAGAAGAATATGATTTAAACTCCTTTTTTTTTCTTCCATGTGCTACTAAGAGTCCAGAGGCTTCATAATTACCTTGCAGCTGAAAAATCAATGGGTCAGTGGATGTAACTGGCCTCTACTGGTTGGAAAATATGTGTGATTTTCTCAGTACTACTGTTCTTTCAGCTAAGAAGAGAACACTTCTTTGTTTGTTTTTTGGTTGTTTTGTTTTTTTTTTTTTTAATGTTCTTAGAAAGAATTTTGAGCGCAAAATAGTCAACTAATATAAAAAAGTAAAGAGGTGGGGGGTGGAGGGGAAACCTCACTGCTTGAAACAGAGAAAAATATTTCAAGGATATTTTAATTGTTTTTCTGAAGACAAAATTTTACTTTCTCCTTTTCTGTTTTCAGAAGAGGATTTTTTAATAGTGAAGTCATCCTCCTCCTAGCAACAAATGCCTCTTAGAGGAGCTTCATCCATGGTTTGTTTTTGATTTATTTTTCCTGGTGCTTTGTGTTTTCACACTTTTTGTATTTCCCTTCACTTTTTTCCTAAAGATAATTATAAAAGACTGAAATCTTTCTGTGACCCTGCTCAATTCCTATGAAATAGATTATCCTTGTAGCCTGAAGTAATTGGCTTTTGCAGGAAAACACCTTCACTTGGCATGGCATGGCCTCCTGCAGCCCATACTCAGGGTCACTAAATTGTGTTCTTGTAAACAGTGAAAATTCCAACCTCTGCTGCAGGTGTCCCAGCACAGCAGCTGCAAGTCCCCAAAACAAATTTTACATGAAATGAAGAAATGGAGTAAAAGCATGCTTGTTTATGAATGTATCAGAGATCAGTGTAAATGTAAATCACTTTGAATGTGAGTGTCAGTGTTTTGAAAGATGCATCTGCAGTATGGGTGAGACTGGGGTGTAAAACCACTTTTACACTGGAGTTTTCATGGAGCGTTACACAGAAATCTGAGGGTGCTTGTAAGACACTGTTAGTATAAGAGCTTACATTTGTGCTATTATAAATGACACCTGAGTTTTGGATTGGATGGTTCTCAATTACATTGGGGTAAGTACCATAATTTTTGGATTTTTCACCTGAATTCTTCCTTAAGAAGAGTTTTTAACTGTTGTTTCCAGCTGCAGCACCTGGAGCGCTCAGCTCAGGCTGTGTGTGGAGAGGAAGCAGCTGCAGAGGGTGGTTTGCACCAGGCTGGATCTGGAATTCACTCTGGAGCATCACTCCCACCCCAAAAGCTGCAGAGGGAGCAGAGGATGATGAGGTCTCTGATTTAGGCAGGTCAGCAAGATGCCCAAAGCTGGAGGAAGTGCAAGTCGACTGAAGTTCTTGCCTGGATTTTAACATTAATTACCTTTGTCAGAACAATTCAGAAAAATGCTTGATCTCTTCTTTATGATTAATGTTCTTCATGATTAATGATGCCTCCCCTAGCCCAGCTCTGTGCGAATGGCAGTTACTGCCTGCAAAGCAGGGATGTGTGCAGGGTTTAAATTCTCAAACTACTGCAGCTAAGCAAATGTTGCTGTCCTATTTTATATGTGGGGAAATTGCAGTGCAGAAAAAAATTAACCAGCTTGCCTACAAGGTACCCTATGGCTCAACAGATTAAACATTAATGCAGAATTTCATTGAGTATAATTCTGCTCTGGGATTTGTGTTTGTTCATTTGCTTTGTTTGGCAGAGGTTTGAAGTTTTGATGCTCTTTTTCCTCAGTTTTGCTAAGAGCAGTTTTTATGTTACCTTTGATTCAGAATGCTTGAGGGTGGCTTTAAAATTCGGGTTGAATTGGAATAGGAAAATCTCCTGTATATTGGATCAGCTCATTTCAAAGCCAGAAAAGCTGCTTTAGTCAGTGCAGGAGTGCTCACAGCACCTCTTCATCATCCCCAGCAGCCTGTCTGGTTTAACTCATTCAGGATCCTGAGTTATTGGAAAGCCCAGAGGAAGATGCATCTCACTCGAGGTGTCACAGCTCCACTGCCTCTGGCATGTTGGCCACAAGCGTTGAAACACTTTATTCTTCCTAATCCACTCTATAATTTTAATGCAGCTATCAAAATTTAGTGGTGTGGCTGACACATAATCATTCAATTATTTTACTGTGCCTACATTAGGGCAATGTAATCAAGCCAAATAATGGGCTAATTTTGCCAGTTTCTGAATCTCTGATACATTTTTTGCAAGAGATTTGAATGGCATAGTAGGATTGAACCACTGAATTTCTGAGCCAAAGTCATTAATTGTTCATGATAACATGCTCCAGGTGGATTTCTAAGAGGAATTTTTTAGTTAGAGGATTTTTTCAGTTGGATAGGCATTCATACTCTTATTCTGGGTATGCTTACTTGAGTAGTTGTATATTTTTCTCATTAAAGTAATTTTCTTCTTAATTTTTGTGGAATGAAGGTTTCCAGCCCTGAGCTATTGTTATTTAATGGTTTTTAATTTTTTAATATTTCATAAGTCTGAAAAGCTGCAATGATTTTTTTCTGGATTTCCTCTATTATTCTGCATAATTTATTCTGAATTGAAAGAGCACAACATTAAATTGTACTAGTTCTCTCCAGTAACAAATAGCTCTTGAGACAGGTTTTTTCTGAAACTCTCATTATTGGCTTTGTCTGCTTCTATCAATATCAAGTAAGATTTTACAGGTGTTTAAAACAAATAAGCCCCAGTAAAAGTTTTGTAGTATTTGAATTAGCAAGGATAGGACACAATTCAATGAAGATAACCAAAATAATGAAAAATAATGAATCTGAAATGGGAAACTATAGCAATTTTGATACAAATATAGACAGGGAGCCTATTTATTCTTTCTCATTTATATTACTTGCCTACATACAGAAAAAAAAAAGTTTTTTAGCTGCCCTCTGGGCAAAACCAGGGAGCTATACAAGGCATTTTCTCCTCCTATTTTCAGACTACTTTAATTGGGTAGTTTGATAAAAATCTCTGTTTAGAGAAACTGAAGATATTGCATCTGTATGAGTGAATAGGCACAAGGGGAAATATCCTAAGGATATTGCAGCTGTTTACAGGGATAAAGAATATATAGATTTTTTTCCTCCCAAAATTATGATTTTTTTCTTATCATTATCTTATTGCCTACTGTAATTTTATTTCTTTCATCTGTTTTCATGAGAGTCTTGACTGAGGCCTTCCTCTTCACCTCGAGAAAAAAGAACAATGTAGGAACGGATGAAATATGCTCAAAGAGGACAAATTAAATCTGAACAATTGGAGTGGAAGAGAAACACATGTGTAAAGAGAAAATGCAATAGAAATGCTCCCAGAGAACACATTAAACCAAGGTTCTGAAAACATTTATGTGTTGATTCATCCTCGTAGGCCAAGCCATGGTCCTTGAACAGGACAGAGGATCATGGGCAAGTGGGACTCACCTGAAGTCTGTGGTGTTTGCTTTTTATTCTATTTCTATTCTATTTTTATTCTGTATTTTCATGCCCAGCAAATAATAAATCTGGCAAGGGTAGCCCTTTTTGGGAAAAGATGTTTCTGTAGAAAGGAGTTTTACAGTTCTATGAATGGCGCTAGAAATTTTGGAGTAGGAAATTTGATTTGTATTTTTGGGACTTTAGGAAGTTAATGGTGCTGTTAGGTATCTAATGGTTCTAAAATGCACTTTCAGCTGTCTGCATGTCTTCCTGCTGGCTGCTGCCAATGTGAAAACCCAGAGGAGATCCTGTCTTATCGGAAACACCTGATCAAAGGGGAGATTTAACAAAGAAAAACTTGATTGAAAAGGTAATAGAAAAGACAGTGGTTAAAGACAGGTAATTTTCCAGTTCATCTTAGAATTATAGAAACAGTTGAAAAATAAAATACCATTTCTCTATTTTATCCAGTGAAAAATTATGCCCTGAAGGATGCTTAAAATTAGTTTTCCCACTCAATTATAAAATGTCACCTCATAATGCTGCTTTCATGAGTGTACGTGCCATTGTTGTTTAACAAGACAAATAATTTTAAAAAATTCAGTATTCAGAATTAATTTTCCTTTTCATAGCTTAAATTCAGAACTAATGAAAACCTTTTGGTCTTCCAGTTAGCCATTAAATTATTCTCCTTTGTTTTAGACTGCAAAGATCAATAAATCTTATACATAGGCACAGACTGACTTGCAGAAGTTGAGAATTGTCAGCCTTTCTTCATGTGAAGATGGATATAAATATTGTCACTGAAATTTTCTTTTTCAGGTCTGGAATGTTATATTTATTTCACTATTATGTGAAATAAATAGAAATAGAATGACTAGACAGAAAATGTCTAGGATGTCTGGGAGCTGACTGGTCCTCCTCTCCCTGAGAATCTCACCTGGAGGAAGTATGGAAACATAATTTTTCTTATATGTACTGATTTATTTTCTTAAAGGCTTTGTCTTTAGTAACTGCAGTAAAATATGATTCTAACCCCATGTCTGATTAACATTAGAATATTTTTGTCTGGTATTTGTATTCATCACCTGCTTCAGTATGACAAATAGATTTATTTTGTTCTGCAATGTAATGGTGTTTTAGATAGTTTATATGGATTCCTCTCCCCTTCATTTTCCTTAGTTCATGTTCATGTGACAACTAAAATTTTGCTGAAAGATACCAATAGACTCACTAAACACTCATGATATTTTTAGATTGAAAAGAAAAGGTGTCCGAGAAGCAGCAGCTGAAGTTTCAATTAGCTGGTGAGACATTGTCTATTTTAAGTAACAATCACCTGTCTCAGAAATCTGATTTTATCTATAAGGGATTAATGTTCTTCAAATCCAACTTCTTTGGGGTCTGCATGCAATGTTCTCTGACCACTCAGGTAAGAAACTATGATTCACTATCTTTTAGTATTCACCTGCTTCAGGAATTCTTCATGATGTAAACAGCTTCAAGAAACATGGAGAAGCTTAAAAACAATCACGGTGGGGTTTTTTTACACTGTGATATTTCATATTTACCATTACCAAAAAGGACATTGTTTTATTTATTTTCCCAGAAGGAATATTTATATATCATTAGGAGTTCACAGCAGTTCTTTTCTCTGGTGGATCTGTGTCTGATTTCCAAAATAAGCCGAGTGCATTAGGGCTTTTTGTGTTTGTTGGTTGTTTATTTAGAGCGACAGGTGAAAACACAGCCTGGTGTTCTCATGAATAGAAACTCTTGATCTTTTACAGCTCAGACAGTTGTCAGAAGTTCCATATTTTCACTTTGATCCCCTGCCCAGGCAGAGAGCAGCAGGGATGGGATGGATGCAGCCGAGGATGCCCTTGGGGTGTGTCAGTCAGGGACCCCAGGAGATGGGAGCTGCTCCCTGGGGAAGGGGACAAACCCTGCTGGTGTCACTGAGAGCCCAGCACGGTGTGAGGAGCTGAGGCAGAGCCAAAACCACTGAGAGGGAGGAGGAGGAAGGAAAAGTGAAGTGGAGGTGGGGACAAGTGGAACAGCAGCAGCTGTAAAAAAGATCAGATTTCCATCTGATCTTGGAAACTACAGCAGAGGTCTGGAATACAAAATGGGGGCACAGAGATGTAGAAGAGAATGAGTTGGCTCAGGAGTGAGAGAGGGGGAGCAGCAGCAAATGTCCCAGGGCTGGGGAGCCCTGGGGGAAGCCCAGAGGGGCTGGAGAAGGCAGCAAATCAAGGAGGAGGCAGATGCCAGGAAAGGAAACCAAGCATTGGAAAATTTGGAAGTCATAAACTGTGACTGTGGTTACAGGGGTCTTCAGGTGAGGGAAGAGACAAGAATGTTGACTCTATGTTCAGAAGGCTTGATTTATTATTTTATGCTATATATATTACATTATAATTAAATAAAAAGAATAGAAGGTAAGGTTTCCTCTCAGAAGGCTGGCTAAGAATAGAAAGGAATGAATAACAAAGATCTGTGGCTCGGACAGAGAGTCCAAGCTAACTGGTCTGTGGTTGGCCATTAATTGTAAACATCCAAGATGGGCCAATCTCAGACACACCTGATGCATTCCACAGCAGCAGATAACCATTGTTTACATTTTGTTGCTGTAGCTTCTCAGCAGGCAAAATCCTAAAGAAAAGGATTTTCACAAAAGATGTCTACGAAAATAAACCTCAGTGACAGCATGTATGTATGTATGATACTGGTGCACCTCGAAAGGATAGATCGGTCAAAGTCTAATATTTTTTAATCTTTGAAAACTGAAATGTGAGTATAATGATTTCTATCAAATGCTCCAATTTCTTTTTTTAGTGTTTGAAAAACCTAGCAAAATTATTTCCTCACCTGTTCCTCTGACTTCGCCCTATGTTGAGATGAATGAGTGTTTTAATGAACTCATTTCTCTTTTAAATCATTAAACATATTCATGCTTGATAATATGCATCAGTTCTTTCTGTGGGAGAGATTATTACTAGAAATAATGTGCTGCATTAGAATTGCATTAGAATGTAGATTCAGGCCATATTTAACTTCCTCCTGAGCTCCGTGTTGTGCAGGCAGTGCACAAAATAGATGGAGTCCGAGGTGAGAGCTGACAGGAGGAGCTCATGCCTGCAGGGGTCAGCAAAGAAGCTGCTCAAGTTCTGCCCCTCCCAATCTGCTGCGCTTTCCTTTGCTCTGTGCAGCACAGGATGCTCAGCACACACACTCTGAATTCATCAGCTCAGCATCAATAATTCAGTGCAAATTACAATAAGCTGATCTGCAAATGTGCTTCTGAAAGTCAACGGCAGAGCTCTCTTTCACTTTCAAGCTGTAAAAATGGAAATCTCACAGGAAAAAAATTGGAAATCCCAGTAACCTATGGTGTTGTACACTCCAAGTGTGACCTTGTGTGTTTTATGAGTCAGCAGCTGATGGAGAGAGGATGTGCAACAGGATCTTTCTCCACAAAGGGGTGTTGAGCAGTTTGGGGTTATCCGAGTTTCCTGAGGGATGCTCTGCGTGCACAAGGATTTGAAGACAGACCTCTGAGAGATAAGTAACTTTAGTCATGATGCAAGAATAATATTTCTTCTCTCAGAGGTAGAAATTTGAGGATCTTTGGTTGCATTCCAAATCCATTCTCACTACTAAATGGGTTTTTCTTTAACTCCAGCCTTTCTGCAAAGGAAAAGTCTGTGTCAGTAAAACTCTGTCAGAAAATCATTTGATTCTGACCAACCCAAGTTCTTGTGTGCTTGAGCCAACAGTAGGGAAGGGGAACTGAAACATGGCCAAGGAGGGACATGGTTTTGCTGTTCCCACTGGGCAGCAAAGGGGACTGAGATTTGCCAATTCAGCTAATGGCCAGCTAAAACTAAATATTTCACTACAGGTCAGAAAAAAAAAAAATCAGAATTTTGACCTGCATTTTTTTTCTGGTTTTTAATTTATGCATAGATTGGGTACTGCATTTCCAGTTGTTTATGTGTTATTAAAACCAAAAATTTCTGGCTGATGTAAAAGAATTTTTTTATCACCTCGGTATTAAATGTGAAACAATAGCTCAGAAGGTGAATTATTTCTTATAGTCTCAAATACAGGTAGCAGTGGTATTTTGTAGAAAAATGTGCACATTCTGGACTTTTTTTTAAAGACAATATCTCTGCTGAGAAATCAGAAAATTACACTGGGGACCATTATTCTCATCTTTCTTGAAGTGCAGCTCTCAAGAGGAAGCACAGCTGATGCTCTGGTCTGTGAGTGGAAGAGGCCATTGTCCTGTATCCAATCGAGAATATGTCCACTTATGAACCCTCCTTTAACCTTTTCCTTTTTTTTTTGTTGGTACCTTGGGATTAGAGAGCTATTCCAGTTCCTAGTTTCCTTTTAACATCACTGTTGCCTAGTGAATTGTTCCCTATCCAGTACTTTTGCAATTTATTCTTCCTGCCCAAGTGTTAAACTTTACAGTTGTCTTTATTGAATGGCATCTTATTTTTTGTCAGGAATATTCTCTCAATCTGTCCAAATCATTTTGAATTGTAGCCCTGTCCTCCAACATTCTTGAGACCCTTCTGTGCTTAGAGTCACTTGTGATTTTAAGAGCTGTAATTTCAATGCCACCATGCGCTTTGGTAATGCTTTTTATAATTAAGGTATATGTCAAAGTAATTTATTGCAGTTATTAAAAAGGAAAAAAAAATCCAAAAAGATAGGGGAAATCATTATTCTTTTGGCAATAGCACATTCAGATGGTCAGCAACACCCGTTCTAAACTGAGATATATTCTTTCATTCAGGATCCTCAAATCCCCCTAAGATTTCCAGTTGCATGTAGCCTGGAGCAATGGAGAACAGAGAGCTCCCAGGTTAATTTGCTGTATATGCAAAGGCCCAGTCTTCTTGTCCCACAGGAATATCTGATAATATACTCAATTTGTGACACTAATAGCAAATAAACTGTCCATAAGAAAATGAAATTTGATTGTCTTCAATTCCAGGAATATAGAGAGGTTTGTTTACCCAAGGCACACAATTTCTGGTCCCTAAGAATGAATGTAATCATTTAAAGCCTTTGGACCTGGACTGGATTTTACCAAGGGCTCTGTGCCTGGTGTGACTTACATTCAGCATCTTGGCCAAGGGGAATGAGAGTGACTTAATCTATCCAAACCCAATATACCATCAATGCCAGAGGGCATTTCTTGCTCTCAGAGGAGAGACTCACTGGCTAAAGAAGGAGATGGGAGAGCTGCTAAAAATGAGTGTGTTGTCACAGCAGGCTGGAACAAACCTCACCCCATATCTCCTTCACAGCCACCTGTCTTAATATATTTCTATATCCATGGATACTTAGATGATTTTAAAGCCTCAGTTCTTTTGCTAATAATGGGGAAGTGGATTGAGAGCATAGCAAATAAATTAAATTACTTATGTAGGAGGCAGTGAAATATGACTAAATGCATTGGGATCTTGTTGTTCCTGATGATGCATCTGAATCATTCACCTCCTCTGAACCATTCAGTTTCCTGGTGGACACACTCCTAGGAGAGAGTTTTAGCTGAAAACTACCTACAAGGAAGTGTATGCCTGAGTAAATCTAATTTAGAAAACATTAACAATCATTATGGAAGCCTTGTTTATATTTAGGTTGCTATCATTCACTGAACTTATAATGTCTCTGGGTAGGGACTGGATTTGTTTTGTGGGGATTCTGGTACTGTAAATAATGTAATCAGAGTTTATTACCTTTGGTTTTGTACTATGTGTATGCAACAGCAATGAAAGGAAAAGCTTTAGTGGGAAAACGGTAAAAGAAAGTTTCCCATCCTCAAAGTAAGTCTTTAAAAATAAAAAAATAAACCAAATCCAAACAAATAACAAAAAAGTTACCCAGAAAACAAAAAAAAAGTGCAGGGGAAAAGGATGTATGCATTTT